TTTATGTTTGTTACATTTTAGTACGAACCATGTTGTTTAAAGTTTTTCACAGCTTTATGTATTTGACTCTTAAATTTCAGAACATTTATTTTTGTCCATCTCGTCTGTTAATTCTTATTTTGTGTTGTTTATATTTCTGGCCTGTTGTTTCGAGTTCTTTTATTTTAGCCTTAAGTATTGTTGTAGCTGAATCTTCGTTGTTTTAAACTTTTGACTTTGAATGTTTTGCATGTTCTATTTTAGTCCATTTAGTGTGTTTAATCGAATTTTGCATCTTTTGTGTTTCTGGCCCATTATTTTTAAATTTTTATTTTTAGTCCCTTTGTTTACCATTTTATGCATGTTTTAGGTTTAATTTAGATGTACTTTAAGTGTATGCATGTATATTTTATCTTAAGCATGTTGTTCATATGAATATATTTAGGTGTATTCTTTTTTCTTTTTTAAAAGCATGTTAATCTCGTGTGCATGACCCGACACCATTACATAATCAGATTAAGGGTAATACCCTTTTAATTTAAAACTGTCAGAATAGCTTTTCTTAACTTACAGGAAAGTTGTTCTTGATAGTTTTAAATTACAAGTGTATCCTAATAGTAAAACCTAAAGAAATTTTGTTTCATCACTTTAAAATTTGGGAATGAAAGAAAAGGAAATATTCGACCATTTAAATTTTTCGAGAAAAGGTCGTTAGAACTGAACTAAAGATCTGGTCTCGATATCTTTAAATTATCGAATATTCTTTATCTTTCTAATGGTTTGATAATTCTAATTTAATCTACTTTGATGCTTTTGAATATTACAAATATCACATTTTGTTGTTCCTAGGGATTATTAATCAAATTAAACTCGAACTTGTGAAATTCGTTGCAAAGACATTAATTAATCGACTAGGTACCGATTTAGGGCGTTGTGGGGGTGCTAATCCTTCCCCGCACGTAACCGACTCCCGAACTTGGATTTTGGTAATGTAGACCGTAAATTTGTCATTTTAATTAAAATTAATTTTTATTTAAAATGACAATGTTTTTGGGTGTGATTGTTTTTATTTACAATGACAATGTTTTTGGGTGCCCAATCACACCCTAATCAAATATTGGTGGCGACTCCTCGAACCATATGTTTTTATCGTAAAAGGATTTTCAAATTTTCGAAACGAGAGGTTTTCTAAAAATCACTTTGTTTTTAATTAAAAATTCAATTGAAAAGAGAATAATAAAAAATGATGTGGTTTCCAAAATCTCACCCTCGCTCCCTACCCCGGGTTTAAAAATCGTTTCGACACAGTGGTTTCGTGTAATATCTAAACCCTATGGATTTCGGGTCAGATTGGATTTGGGTGTTACATTATCTTTACTCTCATGCCATAGAACACTTGATATCACCTCCATATACACCCCAAAGAGTAGCATTAGTTGAAAGACGAATAGACATATTCACACATTATTACATTAAGCATATTTACCAGCACTGTTTTGGACTTATGCATACCATTAAACTATATATTTAATTAATCGTATGTCGACTCCCACTCTACAACATCACTCTCCTTTTGAAATTTTATTTCAAAAATCACTAAATTTTGAGTCCGTTAAAGTGTTTGGTTGCCTTTGCTTCCCTCAGATTAAATCATACATCAAAAATAAACTTCAACTACACTCCACGCCTTGCGTTTACATGGGTTTCTCAAACAAATTTTATAGTCATCAGTGTTTTATTTTTTATTTTAAATATTTTTCAAGATTCAAAAAATCTAGCACCTCGTAAGGCACAATCTCATTTGAAAGCATTTCATCACTTAACCCTAATGGTGATCCTACCCACATTTCTTCTTTATATCTCGTACCACCATACAACACAACCATTAGCTTCATTCTCAACACCATCTGTGTTCAGTAACACTCCTCCCAAATCAAGTAATTTATCCTTTTCTTATACCACTACACAACCTAATGTCCTCATAACATCCTCTCTACAATCAACCCTCGCCATTACTATAAATACTGTCATATATTCAATCATCATTTACAAACGCCGCCACCATCAACATCAACATCTTCCTTAACATTATAATCGTCCTTCTCCTTCTACTACAACAATAACTCCTACTTCCCACATTCCAACGCCCCCACCTTTTCCTACCACCATAGACACTTGTCATCCAATGATCACTCAATCAAAAATCAATAGCCTCAAACTTTGTTAATATCACACCACCATCACAAAATGAACTTTGTACCTCACTCCCATAAACAAGCCAAGTTATTTCCTTTCTGGAATTCAACCATGTAAATCGAAATTGATGATATTGTGTGTAGTCAAACTTGGAAATTGGTTCCATTTGATTCCTTCAATAATGTAATAGATTGTAAGTGGTTGTTTCGAATAAAGCATAATCCAAATGGTTCTATTGAAAAGTCCAAAGCTCGTCTTGTTGCTAAAGTGTTTACTCAATGTCCTAGACTAGATTATCATAACAGTTTCAGTCATGTTGTGAAAGCTTCTATTGTCCATCTTATTTTGAAAATTGCTACACAAAATAATTGGTCGATTAATCGATTGGATATCTATAATGTTTTTTTACAAGGTCACATTGAATATGAAGTCTATATGTGACAACCACTTGGATTTGAAGATGTTGATTTACCAAAACACATATGCAGGTTGAGTAAGGCCATACATAGATTAAAACAAGCACCACGTGCTTGATATCATGAACTCAAAATATATCTTTTCTCATTAGAGTTTGTGAAATCTCACTCGAATTCATATTTATTTATTCTACACAGCTCTTAATGTACAATTTATATATTGGTGTATGTTGATGACATAATTGTCACTAGAAATATTCTAAATAGAGTTCGATGTATTATTGATTCTCTTTCAAGCAAATTTTTTGGAAAGATATAAAATCTCTTCGTTACTTCCTCGGCGTTAAGGTATTATCACATTTTGATGGTCTTTTCTTATGTCAACACAAATACATTTTGGATTTGTTACAAGAAGTTAACATGGACACATGTAAAGGTGTTGCCACTCTGATGACACCTTCCACTGCTTTTGAACATTCTTCTGAAGATACTTCAGTTAATGGCTCTCTTTATCGTCGTATCATAGGCAAGCTACATTTCCTGGCTTTTACTCGTCCGGATATTGTCTTTTCTGTCAATCGACTTTTTTAGGCCATGCACCAACCTACAATGTCTCATTGGATGACTCTCAAACGTATTTTACGATATCTTCAACATACTGCTATATTTGGCCTTCGAATCTTTCAAAATATTAATCATTGTTTAATTGCTTACTCTAACTCTGATTGGGTTGGTGATCTCATTAACCGAACATCTACTACTGGTTGTTTTGTCTATCTATGCTCTACTCCTATTTCTTGGTCTTCAAAAAAAAAACAACGATCTATTTCACGTTCCTCAATCGAAGCAAAATATCGTGTTGTTGCTGCAACAGTCTCTGAGATAAATTGGCGTGTTCAAGTTAAAAAAGCCTCCTTGAAGTTTCTCATCTTCATGTTGCGGACCAGATTGCTGAGCTACTCACCAAGCCATTACCTCAAGTTGCATTCCATTGCCACATTTTCAAGTTGGGCGTTGTTGACTCCACTTCCAACTTGAGGGGGCGTAAAGACATGATCATTTTAATTTCAAATATTGGCTGTTAATTTGTTATTATCTTTTGTTATCTTTTTAGTTGATATTTTAATTTGATTTTTAAATTTATTTATTTTATCTTTTCTTGTTGATAATGTAATTCGGTTAGGGTTCTTCCTATATAAACCCTTCAACCATGTTCAATAAAGACACTTTAATTCATCTTCTACCTTGTTCCTTTAGTGGCTAACCTAGCAACTAAATTTGAACAAAATATTTGACCTCTCAATTCAAATAGAGGAAATAATATAAAAAGTGAATGATCTACACAGTAGAGAGACTATAGTTGGTGATAGAAAAGAATATATCCTAAAACGAAAGACATTTGATGATGAATGACATAGATTGAAACACGAAATTTGAATATTTTAGGATGAAAGATTTTTCGAATCTAATTAATGATTCGAAGGAAGAGATCAAAGTAAATCTTATGATGATATTTGAGGTTCATTAGTTCCTATAAATGAGTAATTATGCCTTTTTATTTTATATATGACTTGAATGCTACGATTGATTAGCTAAGTGATTGTGATTTTTCAAAGGGTGGTAATCTACAAGTTTAATACTTAAATTATCAGTTTTGATATATTTTAGTATTTAAACTTTCATTTTCTTCAACATAACATTTAGTCTTTATTTCGTTTTTAGTATACCACTATTAAAAACTTAACTGAGGACTTGTCGGCCGTCGCGTCTAAAGTCGACGACCATCGTATCCGTCGGCCGATGAAGCCCAAACTTTCTAGTATGTACCTTTTTGACCCCTGAACTTGATTTCCAACCTCTATTTCACCGAGAAACACCTCAATTTTTCCAAATCAATGATGTACTCTTCGATTCTTCATCTTATGATATCCATGGTCCATTGTTTTATGTGCCTGAAACTGAACTATGTTGGTTGACTCTTCATTCTCTCGTGGTCTATCATTCGGATTGGTTGTTCGTCCAACAGAGCTGTGCCACATTAGTCCATCTGTTAAGTAGTTAATGGCAGGATATTAAAACGAAACAAAAACTAAACGTTTTAAAAAAAATGAAAGTTTAATTACTAAAACAAACTAAAATTGATATTTTAAGTACTAAATGCGTAATTTACCTTTTTATGACAATTTTCTTCAACATTGATTTAATAGTATCAATCGATTAATTGAGAAACTATATTATAATATTTTGAAATTTAATATTTAAATTGTAATCATACTATAAATTAAGCGACCTTTAGATTAATTGACCCCAACTAAAACTCCGGTTGCTAGGGAAAAAAACGAAAACCCCGGCTGTATACTTCAGGAAAAAAACTCAAAGTTAAAAAAAACAAAAACAAAAAGGCCTTAGAGAAGCGAAGCTGAACAGATCTCTATCAATTTCCATGGCGTCGCGCTCGCTTTTACATGGTTTCAGACGGTAACTATCTTTATTCTCATAATTTCCCAATTCATGAAAAAAAGGAAAAAAGAAGAAGACTAAATTATTAAACTGAATCCCGTTTACAACTCTCATCAGCTGCTTCAAAGTTAAATTCTTTCCTTTCCCAAAGATTTAACTTTTCAATTTTGTGAAATACATATATGTATATGCATATGCAGGAGAAGCGACCAGTGGTGCATGTCCAGGCTGTTGTCGTCGGGTTCCGTCAGGACCGAAGACGTGGACGATTACCCCAATGATTCGGAGACTGATGATCTGAAAAGTCGCATTTTTAGGTTGCGGCTGCCGAAACGGAGCGCCACCACAGTTATAGAGAAATGGGTGGGTGAGGGCAACCGGGTTTCTATCTCCGACCTCCGCCAAATTTCTAAAGACCTTAGAAAATCCCATCGTTTCAAGCATGCTCTCGAGGTACTTTTCCTTATATCTATTTTTTTAAAAGATTTTTAGCATAGCTTAATAATCCTAATAAATCTTTCGATATTTATGGCTTGAGAAATATAATGCTTGAATCATTAGGTTTGAGTACTTATGATTGGATAGTAATCCATTGATTAAGAATATGCTATCAGCTTGGAGATGGTCTTAATCTAATGTTAATGTTTAACAAACGACGAACAAGATAATATTTTATTATATGCATTTGGTTAAAATATCTTATGTATAAGATTTTTTGTAATACATCAGGCTTTGGCATTTGATTAGCTTAGATATTTAGCTATACAAAAGCAGTGATTTTATTGTCATGTTTACTATGGATATATGTTTCTCGTCATCTGCAGTAGGTTTTATGTTCTCTACTTTAAGGTTTGCTTGAAGTGCTCTTTTATCTCTTTCACTTTAGAGTTATTCAGTTCCTCTGATCTAGCGAAACGTGAAAACTTGGTTCTCAATTCCGCAGTTTTAATAAATTGTATCGATTTCTATTATATTGACTCAGAGTCACTTATCACTTAAGGTGTTCTTTTTCTCAGTTACAAGAGAGCATTTTATGAAAGTTGGTTTTGATGGGAGCTTATACGGATATCCAGGATGAGTTATTTTGGGAGTGTGAAATATAAAGGTCTGGTGTCATTATATGCATATATATAGGGATGTCTCAAATCTTTTCCCATTTTTCTTATTATACTTGTTAATGAATTGCACCTTGCAACATTTGGGTTAGTTTCGTTTTCTTTTTTGCCCTTTTAAATATACTTCGAAAAGAGTAATATCTGAAACAAAGTTTCACCTTGCATCTGTGTGGAAATGTTTGCACCTTGTAGTTTGAGTGGCTTTTGATTTCACGGGTAGAATTGAGTGTCAACTCTCTTATCTTACCTAATCAAGCTTGCAGATATCGGAATGGATGGTTAGTCGTGAAGAGTACAAGTTATCAGATACAGACTATGCCATTCGTATTGACTTGATGACAAAAGTTTTTGGTGTTGATACTGCTGAACGCTATTTCGAAGGCTTACCTCCGACTGCGAAGACTAGTGAAACATACACTGCTCTTCTCCACTGTTATGCCGCCGCAAAATTGACTGAAAAGGCAGAAGAACTTTTTGAGACAATAAAGGGTTTAAACCTCTCATTCTCTGCCCTTCCGTACAACGAGATTATGACTCTTTACATGTCAGTTGGGCAAGTCGAGAAGGTTTCTTCCGTTGTTGAAGAACTGAAAAGACAGAAAGTTGCACCAGATATCTTTACCTACAATCTTTGGATAAGTTCGTGTGCTTCATCTCTAAATATCGATCAAGTTCAAAGGGTTTTGGATGAAATGAGATGCGACTCTGGTTGCAATGAGGATTGGCAGAGATATATTAACCTTGTAAATGTTTATGTAACTGCTAGCCGTCTTGCGAGTACCAATTCGAGCTCTCCGATTGAAATCGAGAAAGGCATCACACAAAGGGAATGGATAACATACGATTTCCTTGTGATGTTGTACGCAGGCTTGGGGAACAAAGATAAAATTGATCAGATATGGAAATCTCTGAAAATGACAAAACAAAAGATGACAAGCAGAAATTACATATGCATTCTTTCTTCATATCTGATTCTTGGGCACATTAAAGAAGTGGGAGAGGTTTTTCATCAATGGAAGCAGTCGACAACCACGGAGTTCGATATATCTGCTTGTGACAGTGTTTTGACTGCATTTGAAGACGTCGGGTTGACGGAGAAAGCCAATGACTTGCATGTGCTTCTGATTCAGAGCAACTGCAGTCCCTCAAACAAGTAGGAATCTATTGCAGTTAAATGTGACTAGGAAACAAAATTTGCGAGAACAGCTCCTTGAAAACTGTACTTGGAGAGAAGAGAAATCGATTACTATGTGATCATTCTTCAACAAATGGCTGACTATTGATACCGGTAATCTTTCCATTTAACACCCATTTTCTGAAATGTTAGTAGGATCTACAGATTCTTGAAACAAACTATTTCCCTTCTGTGTTCTCTTTTTCATAATTGATGGATGATGAGAAAAAAGATACAGCTTCTGTTTGTTTTGATCATATATTTATGTATGGATTATACACCATCAGTAGGAAAAAAATGATTTCACAAGTGACCCTAGGACGATAACATGTGTTACATTTATTTGTTTTTCCACTTGTTACGAAGTTCTCGCGTTTGCATGAATGCAAGCAAGGTCTGTGATTGTTTTGTTGACTAATTTGCATTAAGTTTGAAATGGTTTGTAGTCCAAGTAACTTCATAATTTCAATGCATTGCACTCTGGGGATCTTGTTTTTTTTCCATTAAACTTTACACGATTACTTCATGTATAATCCATGCCTAGCTGGCTACTTAAAAAGAATAGAAAAGTAATAATATATGGGAGAATTTCATGATCCAAATCTTTCAGTTCTGTTCCCAACCATAATATAATATGTAAAATCTCGCCTTGGAACCTTAGCTTAATTTCACAAGTAAATGAAGATATAATAGAAATCTTTTTTAAAATAAATAAGTAAAGTTGGGTAGCAAATTGCAGTATTAAGCAGTAAACGTTCATTTCCGATGGTGACTTTAACCCTGTAGTTCACTGGTTTCTTTTAATTATTATTATTGGTTTGCAACCAAACTTAGAATACAAATAACTGAAATGTGATCTACACGTTAAATAAATTAAAATATTGTTTCAGACTTATAGCTAATAATCTGTGTATCTGCCTTAAAATCTGGAAACATTAGATTACCATTGACCTTTAGGTGATGTATTGTTTATGCTAATAATCTTTCAATTTTTCTGATTACAACACTGCATTTTAGCTTTAATTACGTTACTGACGGCACGATGACGTGAACATATCTTTTCGTTGCCGTGATGACATGAACAAAATGTCGTTTTGGTGAGACTATTGATGCTCAAAATGACATCGTTCTATGCACTAAACTTTAGGGATACATTGATTTTGCCACTAAACTTTAAAATAATTTACTTTTTGCATTGTATTTTTTTGGCCGCTGTTGACAAGTAATTATCGCCCGTCATCAATCATCTTTCGCGGCAAGATTGGTACCAACATGTTCACATTTCACTTATCTTTCTTATCTTAGAATTGGTTTTCCACGAAACACATTCAAAATTGATGAAAATCAATTTAGAAGTTGTACGTGCTAATACTCCGATCTCTCTTAATTACTGTATGATGAGCTTACTTTTATGGTACAATATTCTTCTCGAAATAATATTTCTCATCATTTGAATTTTTTAACAAACACCCAAAATCCCTCAAATGTAAGAAAGTCTCAAACCCGTAAAAATGATAGTTTTTTTTGTTGTTCAATTTTTGTTGATTTTGAATGGGTCCCGTGAAAAAACAATCATAGGAAAAAAAAGATGAGTGAAATGCGAACATTTTATATTGATCTTATTGTGAAAGATGACCGATGACGGGTGATGATTAATTGCTGACGGTGACCAAATAAGTGTAGTACTCAAAAGTTAATTGATTAAAAGTTTAGCAGCAAAAACGAAACACTCTTAAAGTTCAATGCATAAAATAACATTTTAGGAATCAATAGCCACACCCAAATGATATAGTTTTGTCCATATCATCACACTATTTAAATTTTAAAGGTCCAATAATATAATTGAAGTTAAAATTAAAGTTGCATTATCTAAAGTTCAATGACATCTTTTGTAGTTTATCCTTAAAAATAATAGTTTTTTAATCATAAACTAAAAAAAAGTCGGTGTTGTCATTTCTATAATGTAATATACATATTTTGAGAGGAAAGGAACTGAAATTCTGATATTTTATCAGTTTTGAAAAACTGAGAAAACCCAAATTCCCATTCAACTACTCGATCATCAAACTATAGAGATTCACTTCCGAATTCATCTGTGGCCATGAACATGCCTTCTCCTCGAGTTCATAGACCCAAAACCTTCAAACAAGACAACAACAGCTTGTTTTATTCTCCCAAGCTCTGCCTTTACATGCTCGCCCTGTGCATCACCCTCTTACTCCTCTTACAATTGCAGTCCTTACAACAATGGCAAACCTTAGTCTTCAAATACAGAGTCTTAGCCTCTCCCCGGAACTGCAACACCACCCAAGACCCCGAATCCATATCCCAAAAGCTTCGAGATTCCGTCACGTTTCTCCCGTTGAAAGACCTGCGTTTCGCTAACCAACCCCTCGATGGCCACACATGGTTCATGAGTTCCATGTACGATACACGCGAGGAAGGCGAGGTCCAGTACCAACAGTTCCCTTCCAAATCCTCCAAAGGCCGCTTACTTTGCCTTAAAGGCCGTGACAATCACGACGGTTCCTGGAACTACTACGCTTTGGCTTGGCCCGAGGCGCTTCCTTCCAATGCTACCCTAATGAAAGGACTCACTTTCGTGGCCTACAACCATTACAACTTCGATAACATCTGGCACGGTCTGTCCGCTGTTATGCCTTTCGTCGCTTGGCATCGCAAGAACAACTGCGAAACCCCAACGAGATGGGTGCTTTACCACTGGGGCGAGCTGAGGTTCAAGATGGGGACGTGGTTGAATACCTTGGTGGAGGCTACCTTCGGCCAGCCTTCTTATATCGAAGGGTTTAGAGATATGGAAGATGAGGGTCAACCGGTTTGCTTCGAGAAGGCTGTGGTGATGAGACACAACGAGGGAGGGATGTCGAGGGAGAGAAGAATGGAAGTTTATGATCTCATAGGTGCAAGGCTAGGGTTTACTGTAATGTGAGCGTTGAAAGAAGGGTTAACCATGAAGGACCCGACATCGGTATGACCTTGCTGATGAGGACCGGATCGAGGTCTTTCAGGAATGAGACGGCCGTCATTCGGATCTTTGAGAAAGAGTGCAACAAAGTCAAGGGATGCCGGTTAATGGTGGCTTACTCCAATAATCTCACCGTTTGTGAACAGGTAAATTTCTCTTGTGTTAACCTTATGGGTGAAAGCACTGTGCCTCTTTTAGGTAATATAACATTTTGTTTGAATTGTACGTTACAGTATTGAAAGCACTACAATTTTTGGTAGGCAATAATATAGCATTTTATTTGATTTGTGTGCATTACGCTTGTGAAAGCATCTCCTACTAAAGTAAGTTATAATGGGGGATATATATTGGGACTGGTGTGGCTCCATGTATGCATACTAAAATAAGTTATTTATGGATCCTCTAAGAGACACTTTTACTACTAAGACCAATCAATGTGTTAATGTTTAAAGACCACTCAATGTGTTAATGTTTATGAGTATAACACGAAATATTTGAACTCAAGGAATTAATATCATGTTCGATGAAATTGCAGGTGAAGCTAATGAGTTTAACAGACATTCTAGTATCACCCCATGGTGCTCAACTCACCAACATGTTCCTAATGGATCGAAACAGTAGCGTGATGGAGTTGTACCCCAAGGGATGGCTAAAACTTGCGGGCGTAGGCCAATATGTGTTTCATTGGATAGCCAGCTGGTCCGGGATGAGGCACCGAGGGGACTGGAGAGATCCCGACGGGGAGTATTGCCCTTACTCCGACGATGACCGTCGATGTATGGCGTTCTACAAAAATGGCCTAATCGGATACAATGAGACCCATTTTGCCGATTGGGCTAGAAATGTTCTGAGTGATGTTAAAACAAAGAAATCCGAAGAAGAGGCTTCGAAACGTGGATCAGCAAGTTGTTATTGCAGTTAATTGGGTTTCGTTTAGCTTCTTTTGGGGGCATGATTTATAAGTCAACGCATTTTGTTGTCCAACCTCAAATGGACTGTATCTCGAGTGGACTTCATTATCGAGCTTCAAGTGACAAAGAAAAAACTATTGATTTAAAAGTGGGTCCATCTCCATTTTGTTATTTTTTTATCATTATTATTTAATAAAACTCTTATTAATATTTATAAATATGATTTATATGATTGTGATTCATGTATGAGAAAGTAATAGATAGAATGATAATAAATAAAATCTCAATCCGAATTAAACAAAAAAAAATTTGAAATGCCGAATTAAACAGTAACAGGTGACATTTGGTCCACTAAACTCCAAATATAAAATTAGTAAAAGATATGTTAGATTTCTCTCAATTTTAAAATTAAGGTGTATTGGTTTTTTTAAAAACTTAATAATTTACTTTCAATCAATTTTAAGAGTAAACAATTAAGGATGATTACACAATAAAATTTACATCAAAACTTTACGTGAAAATTCATTTCAAGAAAAACCAAGAGTAGAAGAGGGGAAAATTCACTAATATCAAAAGAATAAGAATACAATGAGAATCCTCATGAATAACCTAATCTTTAACCATAATCCCTAGTATATATTTATAAGAATAAATATTTGATTACAAAGGAAACTTATAAAGTAGAAATCTATTCAAAAAGTACATGTTCTACATAAAATAAAGAAAAGCTTCATAATTTTAATCAAACAAAATTTCTTATTTTTGCCAATTATCTCTGAATTAATATCTTCTTTAATTGAATCAAATTGAATTCGATTGATACACTAACAATACTCTTTTCCTTATTCTACCATTTAAAGGGATATTCTTCAACAATGATTGTCAACTGAATTCAAGTCTTATCAAAGCTTAGATGTACGATATAACTTAGTCTTTCAGGTTAGTAAGATCATCATAAGTGTCAACTTCGTTCACAACTGTATCACAGTAATAACATGCATAACATGATCATGATCATCAATTACAATTATATCCTTAACCACCCATAATGCAGTCTTATTAAATCTTTATAGGGGTCTAATTTCTTCTATATGCCTATTTCCAACTGTAGAATGCTATGAAGGAATAATCTTTCCCCTATTGTTATTAATCCATGTGGCAAATTGAAATTTCTTTTAAATTTGTTGTATTCACAAAATTGAATTTCTTCTTCTTGAATTTGTTTTTCCCACATGACTAAACTCTCTCTTGCTTCTAAAATTTGTTAACGTATGAAATTGATTTTTTTTATGCTCCCAAAAACTGTT